TGGAGAGAAGCGGGAAAATTCCCACTTCCCGGAGGAGCTGAGAGACGTGGATTACTGTCCAGAGGTCTCCTTTATCCAGAAGCGAGAAGATAACATCGAGTAGTTCTGCAGGCACATCCAGGATTTTTGTGCGGATCCTGGGGGGCAAGGACGCTCGAGCAGGGCTGACATGGAGAAGGACTCGCTTTTTCGTACGAGCAGATCTTCGGCTGGACATCCAGGGGCAGGTTGGTGGACTTGTGTGGTTATGGTGAGAAGGAGAAGAGCGGAGTGGCGGTGCACGATGTTTGCGCGCCAACGTGATCAGCACCGCTATCTGGTTGTTCTTCTTCCCACTTCACCATCTTTTTCCTGGATTCGTTCTCGCCCTGCGCAGCGTCGACATACTTCAGAAATCTTGCGGAGTCTGGATCTATGCTGTCTTTGGCCCCCGAACTGGCGGACCTCGTCTTCTCGTTTCTGGATACCGAGCATCTACGGGTTCTGCTGCGGGTCTCTCGTTCTTTCCAACGCCTAGCTCTGTTTTGTTTACTTTCTCGATACGGAGTCTCCGGTGTCGGTGCCGACTCTGGCGCTGTCGGCCTCCCTGGAGCAGCGTGCTTCCTCATCCCCCGAATTCATCATATCCATCCCATCCAAAAGCTCACCATCCTCCCCGGCAGTCTCCCCCACCGCTGTCTCGCGTCGGTTCTGGCTGCAACTCCGTCAATTAACGAGGTCATGATACACTCCTCCACTGGAGAATTGAAGGCTCGCGAGGTAGCTGACTTGATCGCACCCCTGGCTTGCTCCGCGGACCCGGTGGTTTTGGCCAGAGCGAGCGAGTATAGTTGGACAAAGCTCCAGGTATCCCTTCCACGACGACATCGCAAGATCGCATGGATCGCATGGCTGCCGCGCCGGGAGTGGACTTTGTCCAACGGCATCGTTGTCTTGGTTTATGCATACAGTTGCGCTATCGTCCCAGCTGTCGATCTATTGATCTTATGCGTCCTCAACTTCGGTGTCTGTATAGTCTGGCTGTACCGTCTGCTGCTTGGCCCGTCCAAGTTGTCCGTTCGACTCGCACAAGACCTGCAGCTGACGAAAGGAGGCCCGCTACACATCCAGGTTGTTTCCGTATCCGGCGGCGGCCGGTTGACTCTCGCAACCCTCGGAGGGCATGCCCGCACATACTTGCGTATCGCAGAGCCAAAATACTCCCTCTCCCCGGCGCAACGAGACTCTCTCCTTGCAGTCCTGGATCTCGAAGACGAACTGGAGGTATTTTCCCTCATGGCCAACTACCGTTGCAGTCCCGAAGCCATGCGCACCTTCATGAACCGACACCAATCTTTCCGCACCATTACCCTGGAGCCTGGCGCCCTCTTTATTCCCTCGCTTATGCCACCCACATCTGGCCCCTTCACGGACGCTGGCAGCGCGATCATCACCCAGGTCACTTCCCCCGCCGAATACATTCCGTACATCTCTACCGCCCTACTTGGCCTCAAAATGCTCCACCTCACCATTGCGGCCGACGCCCCGCCCGACGCATACACAGGCGCAATTGCCGCGATTGATGCCACTGCACCACTGCATACCCTCGAACTTTCTTTCGACCCCAGATTCTCCCATCAAGCGCTCCCGTGGCGCGCGGACTCGAATTTAGCTGCGGAGGCTCACTTGCATAGCGTCGAATCAGTCTTGCTGCTAGACTTCGCCTTCGACGTAACAGATGTGGACTGTCTGTCGTCGTGGCTCGCGGGCTTCCCGTCATTGGCGCATGTCCAAATCTCCCACAGATGGGTCCCCGTTGCAGGCCTGGCACCGTCGGAGCTGAGGCAATCCATCATGCAAGCAGTTACGCGGGCGCGCGCAACTGCGAGACTGGGTGTCCTTTTCAGCTGCATGGGATTTTTGTGGAAATTGGTTCTCGTCACCTCGATGTCTTTCGACTTTCCACCGGAAATTAGATGTCTCTTGCAATTTCCGAGGCTTGTGAGTTTTTTTGATACTTTCGGATTCATTCGTACTCATACTTTTCTGTTCGCCTAGCCTCTGCCTTACTTTACTACGCCAAGATCCATTGACTCCTGGTTCCCATTTGCTGCGTGTCCCACTCGGAATTAGACCCCCATCGCGCGAAATCCTCGTTCTCTTGGACTTTATTAAACCAATGTAGTTTTGGTCTCATTTCTGCCACATTCTTGCCCATACCCACACCCTATTCTCTTCTTCCTCTGCGTAAATTCCATTCGACTGCCGACCATAATCCGCAAACCCCTGTCAAGTAAACAGCATGGCGCGGAATTCAATCCTCGTCTTCCACTACGTCGAAGCTACTAGAAATGCAGTCCATGGACCGTAGACCTTGGACCGTAGACCACATTCCGTGGACCTCTTACCTAATGTGGTTGAAAGCGGACCTTCCTGTAGACCTTGTCGTAGACCTTCACCACAAATGTGATGGTATTGGTTGGTCAGCGTGGACCGCTTCGTAGACCGAAGTAAGGATATGCCACATCCTGCATCACTGGCGCATGCGCACCAATGATTAGTTTGGGCCGCCAGCGCTACCAAGGGGAGGATAGCACCAATTTACAGGTCGACGCTGTGAGTCCCGTACAAAAGACTTGATTTCAACGCTGCTAAAATTCAGCAGATCGGTTGGGTGAATTCTTCTTTGTGATTCATGAATGTTGAATTTCGACCAGGATTCAAAAGGAAGTAAATGCCACCCAAGTCTACCGCCAATATTTCTGCGGCGCGTCGAAAGCGGTGGCAGAAAGTAGAATTCCGGCGCGTCGACACACGCGATGGAGGTCCACGGCGCGGTCCACGGAGGGGTCCAAGGCCGGTCTACGAGTCGGTCTACGGCTTGGTTTATTCCACCGATAATCCCACGGATCACGAGCGGTCTATCACCAGGTCCATCCGCAGGTCCAAGAGACCGGTCCATGGACCACTCTTCTAGTTACTCAGACGCTCACTCGTCTCCAGTTGGCCGTCGCCGCATCGTCTTCACGTACTTCCTGAAGAAACAATTTTGGTCTTCCTGTGTTTCGTCTACTTCTTAGATACACTTTGCGGTGTACCTCAGATGTAATTAGGCTACCCTAACACAACCGGCCCTGAAAAATAAAAGGAGATGAAAGAAGTCCCGCGGTCATTCTTAATCAAGGCAGTCCGATATTCATTCTGTCCTTGTAGCACAACCAAGCCTCCAATTCTTGGGGCCTTTATTCGAGTCACCGTCATACTGTCATTAGTACGTACTGATTCATTTACATCGTGATTTGGGGCTTGTGGATACACATCGATCAGACCGATTTCTTTGGAAGAACAATACGCGATTACGAGGAACATGGAACCTTACCAAACGTCATGGCCCAAAGAATCAGCAGGGCGGTTGAAATGGGCGCATAAATCTCAGTTGGCTGTTTCTAGGGATTGTTTGACTGCGGAATACCAGTCCATTGCGGGTCCCATGATTGGTATAAGGCATGGAAATCGGGCTCTTGCTTAGTCTCCGCAAAGTTCAGGTTAAGGTTCAGCAACCTGAACCTGAAGTTCGGTTCGGCGTTCAACCAGAGATTTTTTTATGAACTCTTTTTCATTAAATGTTCCAGTTTCATGGCTATCGAGGTCGCGCTTGATACTATCTGGGGAGATGGAACAGTCAACCTGAAGTTTTTTAAGAACACAGAAATTATGAGGGATTCAAACACTCAAAAGCAACTGTCAATGCAGCTGGATGGTGTAGGTTTGGATAAGTGTATCTTTTCCCTAGCTGTGTAAAACACATTCTGTATGTAGATCGAAATTGTAATTGGGTGATGCTACTGCAGCTCAGAGGTAGACCATTCCCACTGTAGCGTTTATGCGGGTGGTGCGGATTCGAATCCCACCAGTGGCACTCCACACACAAAGGCTTCCCTCCTTTTTCTCTTGCCTATCCTGTGTCGTTTTTTCTTGGACCAGCACTTGAGCTTGGTGAGTGCTAATAACGGTCCTCAATGATTGGATAAGTTTCCAGCTGTTTGAAATGCATATAATGCGGACTGCTCTGAGGACAAAGTGGTTCAAATCCCAGCAGTAGCAAGATTCAGTAGTTCACACTGGTTGAACATTTCAAGTAATTCGGTGCAAAAACCGGTGCAATTTGTTTTGAATAACACAGAAGTTTTTCACCGAAAAATTTGATGTAAAAGTTGAAACTTCTTCGTGGTTTATTTGAATGAGGTCTCGAACAATTCCCTTTTCCTTTTCGCAAGGGATTCTCTGCTTGGTTGCCGTTCATTCCGCTTTCTTCCCCTTGGACTTGTACGCTTGATCGATCTAGTTGAACTTTGTCCCTGCTTTGGTTCCAACATGACCTCTCCGGAATCCCGATTACACAGAATTGGCACACTCATTCAGGTTTGCCCTTGTCCTGGCAATGCTGCTGTAGCTCAATCACACCAAAAAATGTGAAATTTTGGCCCAGATGAACACCCCGCTGAAAGCAAAGGTTTCCGGCCCCAAGCTCAAAACGTTGCGGGAAACATCAGTTTCGACCGCAGTTTCGGCCGGAATGCGCCGAAACAATAAGTTTCGGGCCGGCCGAACACGCAAATCAGGCTGAAACAGCAGCCGAATCCAATGGTTCCGCTTGCGTGTTCGGTTTGCACCCTAAACCAGTGTTTTCGACTGGGTGTTCACCTGAGCTGAAATTTCCCTTTTTTTGGTGTGAATGGTAGAGCATCCTCTTGTATTGCCAAGCCCCGGATGGGAAGTGTTTATGAGGGTGGTGTGGGTTCGAATCCCACCAGTGGCATGAGGTCTCGAACAATTCCCTTTTCCTTTTCGCAAGGGATTCTTTGCTTGGTTGCCGTTCATTCCGATTTCTTCCCCTTGGACTTGTACGCTTGATCGATCTAGTTGAACTTTGTCCCTGCTTTGGTTCCAACATGACCCCTCCGGAATCCCGATTACACAGAATTGGCACACTCATTCAGGTTTGCCCTTGTCCTGGCAATGCTGCTGTAGCTCAATGGTAGAGCATCCTCTTGTATTGCCAAGCCCCGGATGGGAAGTGTTTATGAGGGTGGTGTGGGTTCGAATCCCACCAGTGGCATAGGTCTTGAATAAGTCTTTTTTTTTGGAGGGATTCTCTGCTTGGTTGTCTTTCATTCCGTTTTCTTCTCTTTGGAGTACACTCGAAACACTATGCGACGCGGTTACGTCAAGGGAGGTGGATCTAGAACGCTTCGTGTGGTAATCTGTCGCTGCTGGTAGAGCATCCTCCTCCAATAGGATCCCATCGTAGCGTTATGAGGACGACACGGGTTCGAGTCCCACCAGTAGCAATGCTCAGGAAGATTACTTTGTCCCATGCATAAATGATGACTCTAGGTGCTTCTTCGCAGACTCGCGGTAGTAAGCACATTTTTTCATTCAGTTTTTTGGTCTTAAAAGCCCAACACACCGGTAGGTACGTCAAGGGAGATGAATTTGAAGTTCGTGGGGCTGGTGTTGGATTTCGTCGCTCCTGTAGCTTAGTGGCAAAAGCTCCCTCTTATCGTATTTCACGGATGCCCATGTGGAGGGTGACGTGGGTTCGAATCCCGCCAGGAGCATATTCGCGGTGGTAGACCTTTTTTTCTTCCCCTCGGGGGGGATGTCCTCGGCATGGGTCTTTGGCTGGCTTATTTTCTTTTCTTTCTTTCCTTCCTTTGCCTCCGTGCTCTAATCCCATTGCTGAGCATGAAAGTTGAAACTCGGACCGCCGCCAAAAACGCACGTGCCCGCGTCATGATTGATGGTCTGATGTCCCTCGACTGTAAGGGGATCCCAATTGATCGTGACGACTTTTGCTGACGACTCTTTTGCCGGTCTCCTCGTCGTCTTGTCGGTTACATCGTCGCTATGGATAACTTGCCAGCAGAACTAGTCCAGCCAGCGCAGGAGGTGCAGCCGAGCACAGTGACAGAAGAAGAGGCAGGCGCAGGGGCGGTGCCTGAATCCGAGGGGTCGACAACGGCAACGACGACAAGCACACCGTTGGCGCCGTCGGAGACAACGAGCACGAGCACGCCGTCAATCGTGACGCCCTCGCCCTCGTCGCCGTCCCTATCGCCCTCTCCCTCCCTTTCACCCTCGCCCGCGCCGTCCGTATCCCCTGTCCCATCACCGGCGCCGTTACCGACGGACCCCACCGCACGCGCGCTCGCCTCCGCCAACGCGGGCTTCGACCACCTCTTTGCCAACGACATCGCTGCCGCGCGGCGCGTCTTCTCTTCTTCCTCCCTCGAAGGAGGAGAGCCCCAGTCCCCGTTCCACCTCCTCGGCCTCGGCGTCTGTGCCTTTTTAGAAGCCGCGCTGGGGATGGAGAGCGGGCTCATGGGTGAGGCGGCACGGCTCCTGCAGCTGAGCGAGGCGGGCGCGAAGAAGGCTGTGGCGGATGCGAAGGCTGCTGCGAAGGGTGCGTTTGCTCTTTCTCCCCCCCCCTCTTTTTTTTTTGCTACGAGGAAAGGAATAGGCTAACGAAAGTACAGCAGGCGGCGGAGGCGGGAAAGAGGTGCGCGCAAGGGGCGACGGTGGGGGCCGGTTCGCGGCAGGGCTGGAGTACGAGATATTACAGGCGGACGCGGTGGTGCTAGTGGGCCTCACGCATGCGTTGTCGTGCGTTTTTGTTCTTTCTCTTCCCTTCTCATTCCTCCCATCCCTCCTCCCCTTCCCTCCATTCCCTTCCTCCCTCCCTTTCGCCGTCCTTTCCTTGCTCGTCCCTCTTCCCTGTCTTTCGTCAGCCTTTTTCGTTATCACTAACCCCCGCGCTTTCGTGCAATAGCGAATCATACATGGGCTACTTCCAATGCATGTACGCCCTCAACGCCGCGCACTCAAAGTTCACGAAGCTGTACAAGACGGTGTTTCCCGCGGGGTTGGACGCGTATACCTCTTCTTCTTCTACGCCGTCTGCTTCGTCCACCAATCTCACGTTATCGTCTTCGGCGTCGGTGTCGTCGGGATTGTTATCAGCCCCCGGAGGAAGAGGGCTGAGCCACGCATCGTCCAGCGCCTCGCTCGCCCCTTCCGCCTCTGCCTCCACTTTAAGCGTGTCCAGCGTGTCAACGCTCTCGTCGTCAGCACCGAATACACCCACCACCGCCACGAGTACGAGCACGGGTAAAACAGGCAGCCCCGCACCCTCCATCGCGCCCTCCGTCTCGCTCACAAAGTCGTTGTTTGGACGCTGGGGCGGTGGGAGTAAGGTTAGTTTGAAGGAGAAAGAGAAGGAGCCGAAGGATGCAGGGGAGGAGGTACGCTTCTTTGCTCTACTTTCACTTTTTCAATTCCACCCAACTCGTCCCCTCCTCCCGAATCCACTCGTTGTTCCACTCCTTGTTTTCATCCCTTGCATCCATTGAATTTGGATATAACTGACGCTCGTCTAGGCACGCCAACAAGCCGAACGCGAACGGCAACAAGCAGAGAAGGAGCGCCAAGAAAAAGCGGAGAAGGCAGAGCGGGAGAGGCCGGCGGAGGGCGCGGTGGAGGAGATGGTTGTTGCGGGGACTGCGTTTGGTGCGTCCTCAGTTTTTCGTTCTTTTTTTTTTTTCGTGCCCTGGTGCACGCACGAGGTTTGACTCGCGCGCGCGGTGGGCGATTCACCTTTGAGTACCCGCGTCGTGCTCGCGTGCTTCCCTTCCCTTCCATCCCCTTCCCTCCCCCTCCTTCTTTCTCCCTTCCCCCCCGAGCGTCACTCATTAAATTTCCGTCGTAGGATTCGGCCTCTTCAACCTCGTGTTCTCGTTGTTGCCGAAGAAGGTGCAGTGAGTGGCTTTTCCCGTCTTTTCCCGTCTTGTTGTCTTCCGCTCTCGGAGTGCGCTGTTTTCTTCGTGGCGCGGGTTTTTTTGGTGGATTGTGGCGGACTGTGCTTCAAAGTGGAGCGTGCTCTCGGTGCCGTTTGGATGGAGATCTAGAGTGCGGTTTTCCGTTCGTGTGGGGGGCGGGCGGATTTTTTGGTGTGCTACGCGTGGAAAGGCGATGCACGTGCGCGCTTTGGGGCGGATGTATGGTCGGGGCGATCGTGTGGCGTTGCCGCGCTCCACGAGCGCTCGATTACCCCTCAAAAAGCGATCGCTCCATGGTGCTCGACGACAAGGAGTGGCTTCGTCGTGGTGTAATTCGTCGGGCGAGCTGGTGGCGGTGATCGTGTCTCAGCGCTCGATCACCCCTCAAGAACGATCGGTCAGCGCTTCGTGGCGCTTGATGACGCGCGCGCGCATCGCGCATTGTGCATTGGTATCCCAACATGCCCGCGCCACCATCTGTCAATTCTTTTCGGACTCGACTGTACAACCTGCGTCCGGACATTTGACTAACGAGTTTGTTATAGATCGCTCGTGGGCCTCCTGGGCTTCAAGCACGACCGGGCGCTTGCGTTGAGGGCGTTGGCCGTGCGTTTTTTTTTTTTTCCTCCGCTTCTTATTGTTCTTTCTGTTCTTGTGTTTCGTGCACGTTTTGAGCATCGCTCGCGAGCCGAAAACTCTATTTTCATTTCACAAACGAGATTCAGGATTCAGGATTACGCTGATTTTTTTGTGATACAGGTCAGCGCGGGTATCAACACGCTCGGCGAGGGTGGGGGACCCGGGGGGAGGGATGTGCATGGGGTGTTTGCAGGGTGCGTTTTTTTTTGTTTTGCCCGTTTATTCTATTTCGACAATCGTCATACGCCTCCGAATCTGCTCCCTCCCCAAGTTTTGCGGGCTTGGAGAGGTGAGACAGACTTTCCGGGCGCTGATTTAACTGGCCGGCTTCATCCCTTCATCCCTGCGCTTTCTTCCATCCGCTTTGTTGCTATCCTCGATTTTCCCTCATTTTCCCCCTCCTCCAACCCCGGAGAACATTTTTGCTGACTCGCACATTACAGACTAGTCCTAATGACCTTCCACGGCGTCGTGCTCCTCCTCGCGGGCTACCAGGCGGACGAGGCGCGCACGCTGCGGACGTATAAGGCTATTGTCGATGGGTGGGTTCCTTTCTTTCTTCTTTCTCGTTCAAGTGGGAGGTTTGCGAGGCATCAGATGCTGACGTTGATTGTGCAGGATCGAGGCGCGGTACCCGACGGGGGCGTTGTGGATTTTGAATCGGGTGCGTTTTCCACCTTCCTTCCTCTCTCGTTATATCTATCGTCACAATCTCCATCCTGTATCCTACTCAATCCCGACCGCACATTCCTTCTCTCACTCTCCCCTTCTCTCGCACTTCTCATCTCCCATTCTCTATCTCCCTTCCCGCCAAGTCAAAAAAATCGCTACCGCTTGCAACACGGGAACACTTGCTGATGCTCTCTCTACACAGGCTAAAATCCTACGCATGTCGAACGACCCGCAGGGCGCGATCGCGGTGCTGCAGCGCGCGCTCGAGGCGCCGCAGACGTTCGTGCAGGCGGATACGTTGGTGCGTTCTTCCTCCCTCTTCTTCTTCTACTGTTCCCTGCCCTCTGCGTTTGGCGTTTGGCGTTTCGCGGCCAGAGGAAGGGGCAGTGATAATTGGATTGGTTTATATTAATATGGGGCTGACGATCGGACAGCTGGTGTTCGAGCTGGCGTGGACGCTCCTGGCGCAGCGCCGGCATCAAGAGGCCGCGGATGCGTTTGTGAAGCTTACGGAGCTTAATTCGTGGTATGTGTTTCACTTTTCTTCCACCTTTCCCTCACCCTCTACGTAACCAATCCCCCCGAAATTTTGATCAATTGACACACCTCCCAGGTCGCATGCAACCTACTACTTCATCGCCGCGGGGTGCTATGTGGCGCTCGGGAACCGCGACAAGGCGCAGGAGCTGCTCGACGCGCTGCCGGAGCTGCTGCAGCGCAAGAAGGTCGGCGGGAAGGATCTGCCGACGGAGGTGTTGATTAGGAAGAAGTGTAAGTTGTTTGCTTGACCTTTTTTCGTTCTCTCCTCGTGCCGAAGCACTCCCATCGAGTGCTTTGGTTTGGAGGAACGGTTATAAACGGTCACTGACGAATGTGCATCGCAGTGGATTTCTACAAGGAGAAGCAAAAGCGGCGGGGTGGGGATCCGGCGCGGTTCGTGGAGTCTATTTCTATCAGCCCTGCTGATGGTGCGTTCCTTGTTGCCTCTTTCCTTCTCCTCCGTACTTACCACAATGTGTTCAGAGCTCGGGATATGTGCGTCTCATATTTCGCGCCACCGTTACGTTACTTATGGCTCAAGACAGTTTGGAATAACCACCAGCGCATTGATGATGCCGTCGCGGAGGCGCACATCGCGGAGCTAGCGGCTCTGACACCACCCGTTGCGTTGGCGGTGCACAGCCCGTTCTTGCCTGCGATTGACGAGAAGCATGTCGTGCTTGTGAGCTTTTTCTTTTCTTGTCGTAAAGGCAGAGCTGATCATTAACACAGCCCGACACCACCCACGACCTCGACACGCCGGACGAACGCGCTCTGCGCGCGCTCCTGCTCGGCATCATGCACCGCACCCTCCGACTCTACGCCCCCGCGCGCGCCCTCCTCGAAGCCGCACGCGGCGCGCAGGGCATCAAGACTAGCACGTGGATCCCCGGTGTCGCGCTCTTTGAGCTGGCGGTAACGGATCTCAAGGA